ATAAACATGTTTAATAATACAGTTATAGGCAAGAAAGAAAACATTTTGAATTTTTCCTTTCAGAAATAGCTTGCAGTGTATACCTATCAGTAATGTTCCCAGGATGAAACATTCACTTGTCCTCTCGTGGCGGTCAAACATTATCAAAGCAATAAGAGTTAAAATGCTTTTCTGTCAAGTATGAACCATAAGACGGGCTATACATGCAGATAGCTTTAATGAAAGTAGAGAAAAAAATCGTCACAACATACAGTACAAAGTTCCTTGTTGTATATGGTACTGTTTACTTGAAAGCAATATTGAGTATGCATGGTATATAGAATTGTGAAAAACCTATTCAATGAGCAGGCACGGATTAAAAAAAGAAAACTTTATTTTGTATTGATGTAGGAAGCTCGCATGTTCTGACCCGTCTCGATTTCTCCTAAATAGTTTCAGTGTGTGTGTGTGTGTAGTTATTTTTGGAAGCAGTCAGCATTCTCAGAAAATAGAGGCGTCTTTTAACATTACAAATGCATTCTTTCATCAGAAGAAACCACTGCGTTTCCCTTACAACCAAAATCCATTAGATATCCATTCCACATATCAGACCCAAACTAAATATCTAAATTCTGATTTTCAAAAGAAAAGACAGTATTAAACTCTTGCAATGTTTTCCTCCAATTCATCTTTGTCATTTACTTATGCTTTGTAAATAAATTTACGCTAGGTATGAGTGCATCGAGACGAAATCGTATGTGATTGCGCATTTGACTCGTAAGGAGGTTCTCTGATCCTGCCTGTTGTTTCACAGTCAGCCAAGTCGGTTGTTTCGCAATATTAATTTCAATGGCTTTCTTCAGACCAATATACCAAAGTTGAACTACCCCTGCTTCTTGTTGAAAGCCAAAATACTATTTGCTTCACAAAGAGAAAACTTTTTTTTTCACTTTTGTACTATTAAATAGTAATAAGCGTATTGTCTATATTGAGTCTACATCGATCTATGTATGGACATTGTACCGACTACTTGTCAGTGAAAAGGAGAAGAAATAAGCGAGATAGATTTTGTTCGATATCATATAGCTTTTTTCACGCCGAGTCTGTCTGCTAAAAATAAAAACATCTCACTGGAGTAACACCCTTTTTCACAAGAAAATATCATACTCTCGTTAATTGCTCATTCGTTTCTCCACGGGCAGATGAACAGGCATAAAAACCTGAAAAATATTTCTTCTTTGATTTATGACCGTCATCTGACCCAAGCATATATATATATATATATATATATATATTTCCAACAACATGTATAGCTGGTTATTCGTTGAGCAATTTTTTTATTTCCCTAATTCTTAGGCTTAATTTATTCTCCTCTCACATACAATATTACATGTGCTGATTCTATAAAAATATGAATCATTAAAATTACTTAAGTTTATTACAACCTAAGCGAGAGAGATTGCATAAATCTCAGAAAAGCGATGAAATTATTTTGATGAAATTTTGGCCTCTCTCAAGTTGGAAATATATATTGTTTAAGCGTTTAATCTCGACTATACTGATGAAAATTAATGTGGAACCTTGATTAGATTGAAACTTGTATATACTGATTCCTTTCAATGCTTTGAACAGAGGAATGGTGGGATTGATTTTGCCAGATTAAACATCTGTCTCATTAGAATATAATTTTTTAAAATCATTCTTAGCTTAGTTTGGTCACTCAGTGAGGATGGAACTCGTTACTAATAACCTGAAGCTTGTTAACCATTGCATAACGATGAGATGCAACAAAATTAATTCTAAGCAACGTACTTTTAATTTTGTTCACAGAGGAATTGGGGAATTGCGAGATGTGACATATAATTCCTTTGTAGAGTCAATGTCTTCCACAGTCTTCGTCTTCCTATCCCAGTTGCAATTTACTTTCATAATTTTAAGGCCATTTAACAGACTGTTATACCATAATACCTATTCTATTGTAATAGAATCTCCCACAGATAATAAGTAGTAGTAGCAGTGGCCAGTTGGGCTCAGTGGTGTTGAGTGAGTCTGTCGGACATTGAAGTATCAACCATCAGAAGTAGATTGATGCGTCATTAACTCTCATTTCAAGTTACTAACGTTTTGTACGTCGAACCTAATTTAGGACGACTTATTGAAATACAAGCTTCCACTGTGAAAACTACTCTACAACACAGACCGAGAACTTGTGGGCTTACAAGGCTCACCCACGTGTGTGTATCTAAATTATTTTTCCTTCCAGTCGTATATTTTTTTATTATTTTTATGTTTCGTTTTACAAATTGCTGATTTAATTGCACTAAAATGATCTAAATGTTTGAATTCTGAGACGATAACAATTGCTTGCAAACCGAATGTCGCGAAATTCCGACATGTTGGAGTTTATAAGAACGTTTAAAAATGTGAATACAAAGAAAAACAAAAAAAATTAAACATCATGAAAAAATCTGCAAAACCATGGAATACATTTGTATTCGCCCTGTGCCGTAATATTTTGAACTAAAAACAATTAGAGAAATAAGATATTTTCATGTAACAATTATTGAACGTTGGTCTATTTATCAGGGTAAATGAGAAGGGCCTACAAACTAACAAAACTTATTGCCACTGTATACGGAATGGATATATATATATATATATATATATATATATATATATATATATATATATATATATATATATATACTGAATTTTATTCTTTTCATTCTTTTACATATATACATATATATATATATTAAGAAATGGACAAGGTCCGACAATTTATTTATTAAAGACATATTTTATGTTTAACGTTGTTATTTTTATAGATACCATTTAAGCAAATGCTCTGTTTATGATAAACAGTATTAAATAACATTTACCGGCCTGAATGTCCGAGAAATTTTCATAGAAATCTTGTCAAAGAACGAAAATTTTCTATGAAAATTTCTCGACATTCAGGCCGGTAAATGTTATTTAATACTGTTTATCATAAACAGAGCATTTGCTTAAATACTTGTATCTCTAAAAATAACAACGTTAAATATAAAAATATGTCTTTTAAATATATATATATATATATATATATATATATATATATATATATATATATATATATTTATATGTATATATATGTATGTAAAATAATGAAAAGAAAAATTCTAACGTTCAAAACATTCAATTAAAACAGGGCTCAATACAAGATTAGAGCAATATACATTTATTATAAATTGTTACATTAGAATATGCAAGTTACTACTACAAAATTGCATATTTTTTCGACGTTTCGTTTATTACCATCATTGATAACTACTTGATGAGACGTGTTAAACGTCGAAACAAAACATGCAATTTTGTAGCGGTAACTTCCATGTTTTAATGTAACAGTTTATATATATATATATATATATATATATATATATATATATATATATATTATTTATTTAAAAATATGATTCCAACTCGCGACATAAGAGGTCTCATGTTTTCAAAACATATATATATATATATATATATATATATATATATATATATATATATATATATATATAAATATACACATGCATATGCAAAATATAAAATATATATACACATAGGTGCATACACATACATGTATATTTTTTGGAATAAATTCCGTTGTCGAATGAAGATAGCTCAGTGGTAGAAACTCTGACATCCACCAAATCGGTTGGGTTTCAATCCTGGCTTGAGGCATTCGGATGTCTTGTCGCATTAAGTAACTCTAATAGAGGGGAATAGTAGTGTCTGCCAATGACATATATATATATATGTGTGTGTGGCGGAATATACGTGCATAAACGAAGGATTAAATGTTTTTTATTTATAATTATCATTTTTCTTTCTAATTGAAAAATGAATTACAAAAATTCTTTACGAACATCTTCACACAAAATATTTTGTGTATCCTTTTCCCAGTAGAACTGAATGAATTGCGCTAGTATAGGATAAACGGAAAATACGTCTATATTTGTGAAGATCTTTGTTGTACAGGCTTACATTGTTTTCAATGTGAATTAATTTCTAGCAGTCAGTCGCACGAAATAAAGGCAGTAAGTTAGTCGCTATTTTCGGCGCATATAAACAAGTTAGCATGCACATTACCAATATCGCTAAACATAATATTTGTAGTATTGTATACTCGAATAAATATGCGATGCAAGTAATTAATTAAATGTGAGAATTTCATTTTTGTTTGTGTAACAAACGATCGAACAAACACTCTTGTCAAAGGTTCACGGAAAGACTAGTTAGCAAACAAGAATTGATCATATTCATATTCATAATGAAATAGTAGATTTATTAATTTCAAGCTTATTGACCAAGATACATTTTCCCAATTTTTAAATACACCTTTTAAGGGTAGGGTAATATTTGTCGCCTATATTCTGAAGTAAGAGTCCAAAATTTCATTTCTAAGAGATATTTTATCGTCTGCCAATTCAAAAAAAATTCTACGAATCTCGTTCGACGTCGCTGGTTTGTTAATATATATGAATACAAAAAACCAAATATCTGAAGCTTGTCATTGTACAAAAAATAGGTTAATATCAGTGTGATGAGTTTTCAGTGACAGTACTTAAATCTGTAAGAGTTTTTCTACAATTCTGAAACGGGGTTCCACATATAATAAAAAATCAACGTCAAGAAAACTTTTTTATTCTTTTCTTGAAGAATACTATCAAGGCATTTTATTCATTTGTGTTTCCAGATATTAATTTGTAGATATTTATTTATATTTTAATTTTTACGCGCGTACACCTACAAACACACACGCACACACATATATATATATGTGTGTGTGTGTGTGTGTGTGTGTGTGTATGTGTGTGTGCGTATGTGTGTGTGTGTGTTAATTGAGTATGTTCTCTTCATTGTAAACCCTAAATATTAAGTTAAAGAATAAACGTTCTTTCTCTGCGTCTACCGACTTTAAACAAACTCGTATTAATGAAAAATTGTTGTTTAATGAAAATCATACTTACAAACACACACACACACACACAGAGAGAGAGAGAGAGAGAGAGAGAGAGAGAGAGAGAGAGAGATAGATAGATAGATAGATAGATAGTAATAAGGTAATAAATCCATTGGTATATAATCCAAGTGGATCCTAGTAATATAAAATATTAAAACTGATCCATAACAAGAGCTCAATGTATTTAATATTGCAGAGCAAATAAATAGTAGTAAGCGATAAAATCCAAAATTACCTCATATGGGGTATAGACCTATTTAAACCGACGAAAACTTCGTCAGTCTTATTCAACCCCTGTACCATATGACTGGCGAAGTTTTCGTCGGTTTAAATAGGTCTATATCCCATATGAGGTAATTTTGGATTTTATGGTTTACTAATATATATATATATATATATATATATATATATATATATATATATGCACCAACCTAAGAAATGCACCTCTTGTTGGGATTTCTGTAGTCCACTTCTATCAGCAAGCAGAAACTTTTTTTCCTGATGATGGCCATGTTGGCCGAAACTAGTAGAAGAATCTAAATGAAATAATAAAAACGCAGGCATATTAATATACAACCCAGTGTGCCTGAAGATTTTAATTTTTTAATATTTTTCATTGTTCAATATATATATATATATATATATATATATATATAAATTATATTTAGCAATCTGTGTCGAAATCCCGTTTTTTTTTGTTTTTTTTTTATTATTTATAAAATGAAATTTTTTTACCAAGCGTCCTACAAAAGAAAATCTACCTCCGGTCTGGAATCGAAACTGCATTCCTTTTTGCCATCAGAGAAACAGTCAAGAGTACCTCTACTAATTAGCCTATAAGAAGACATTACGTAAAATTGATGAACAATTACTCCATTGAAGAAATACACCTCTTGTTGGGACTTATTGACGTCTTTATCTGTTAAGTTGATTATCGCTGCGGAAAAATAAACAAAGTAAGGAATTTTAAGGAATTAATAGTTTTTTAATGCGAAAATTTTAATACTTTATTTTAAAATGATGCATGCAAATAGTAAGATTTGTTTAGTGTGCGTATTGTATTCCTTACTAGAGAGTTATTAAGAAAAATAAAAATGAAGACGCCTCACCGAAGAATAATGGCTAAAATTCTCTCATAGATCTGTAAGAATTTCGATTTTAACACAGTCCTTCAAACTTCTGACTAGGCGCCTAAGCTGTGAGCATATCAATAACGAAATCATAAAAATAGGTTCAGTATTCAATAAACGCTTTTGTTCTTGTCTTTGTAATCTGCCCATAGTCAGCCATTTCTCTCAGTTAGACTTACCGCGCCTGAAAGTCAGAAAAAATGCATAGAACCGATGAGGAACTCATCAGAATAAGCGCATATATTCTGTCATTCTCGAAGTGAAAGAAAAAAATAGGGAAGGTGTATGTTAAACATTTGATAAATTCGCCGTCTGTCTTCCGAGGCAGGGGAGTAATCTGGAGTGAATCCAGGCAAGCTCTACACAGAGAGGAGTTTTGTAGTTAACCGCCGTTCTCTTCTTATTGGTAATGTTTAAGCAAATTGAAGATGAGTAATTGTTAGGCAAACAAATCAATCTTGTCGGGCCAGTGTGCCCCGAACATATCCGGTATCGATTTCCTCAATCACAAACGGCCGAACTTAACCTTGTCGCTTCATATCGCTTGGCGAACATACAATAATAGAAGAAGAAGAAGAAGAAGAAGAAGAAGAAGAAGAAGAATCAATAAGAATGGCTACTGGTTTGGGACTAGCGGATGTAGAATAGGGGAAGATCGTGAAAATATAGCCGTTTACTTTTGACGTTTATTTCTTTAATACGTTTGACCGAAGCTTCCATATTGTATACGAAATATTCTATTCTTATTTATGTTGAGTTGTTGCTATTGCCGATATGATATTATTATTCATGGATAGAATAGAGGGTGACTACTACATTTATATATCTATAAGGTCTTCCTCTTTTCATTATTATTATTTAAAATATCACCTCAGAGATATCTGGTGGTTCTGGCTGAGGATCGAGACAGTGAGTTTCTTCAAATAACTAGCACTCTCTTCATTATTTCCATCAACATATTTATATCTTCACACACTTGGGCTTTTTAGGCTAAATTTTTAATCTGCGTTAAAATCCTTACCTCGTTACGAATACAAACAGAACATACATTTTTTAAATTATTTTTATGAAAATTAAAAGTCAATTTGGAATTTAAAAAGACGTTTAGTACAACCAAGAAAAGGTTTTAACTATTAATATTATTTGTATATTTGCACCTGAAATATCTAGTGGTCATAGCTGAAAATATTCTTTTAATTTTTTTCTTTCATTATTATTATTATTATTATTATTATTATTATTATTATTATTATTTCCTCTGATTTCTATTGTATATTAATTACCTTCCGGCTGCCACGCAGAGACCTGAGGTCAGAAATGGCTCCAGGGTATTTTCAAATGAGACATTTATGTAACATGAAAAAGAAAATAACCTAAGAAAAAAATCACTCAAAACTTCATAGACAAATACCTTCGTAGGACGTGAGTTGTGCTCGGGAGAACAATTTACTGTATTTCCTTAAGGCTTCAGCTGCCAGAAATCCCTTCAATGTGTTTATCATAACCTTTTGCAATAAAACTCAAGGCTCGAACCACAGCTGAAATTATTGATATCTTCGTATACCACATTTCTTAAATTACCACTTCAAGAACCTTGTATTTTGATAATTTTTGAAAATCTTCACAGCTCCATTAATGTCTGTAGGAACTGCCAATTTTTTTAGTCATTTCACACCTAGTGAGAGGATTATGGTTCTTCTTCATCCATTTGAAATTATCCATTGAATTTGTTGGCTTCTTTTATTCCAGAATGAAATTTATTTCTTTCATGTCCTTTGACACAGATCATCAATCGGTCTTCTGCAGTTTCTAGGTATCTTTGAAGAACGATTGTTGTAGTTTTGTAAAACAATTCTAGTTGAACTAATTCTCTACCTCCTTCGGATCTTACTAAAAAGTTCTAGCAAAATGACACGCTTTATTGACATGATGCATTCACAAATGTCTGCTAAAACTCTTACTTCATTGTCATAGTGTGTATATTGCAAGATAAATTTCACTGTTAACTTCGGTACACGAGCCGAGAACATTAATAACATAAAGAAAATCAGTACACAAAACAGTTGTTTGTACTTTGGTATAACAATAAACAAAATTATTCTGATGTAGCTAATATTATTGACCCTGGTAAGTTTTAGTTTCTTTAAAATAATTCTACTATTGTTTGCAAATAAAAGTTCTTTATTTAAGAAATCTGATATATTAAGCAATACTGAATTTACAAATATTTGTTCTTTTAAAAAGCATTTGGGCAAAAAATTTTAAAATTCAAATTTCAGATGGGGATAATAATTTTGTCTTGAAAAATGCATGTGTGTGTGTGTAACACTTGATGTGAAGTTCAAGGAAAGCGTTATTGACAACTAACCAAAACTGATTATGAACAGAAATATGTAAATAATTGCTTAATATCTGATCGCGCTTGTTATATTCATAATTCAAATTCACTGCTAATAAGTTTACTGTAGATTGAATTCTACATTATCTTGCAGTAGAAGACATTATCGATGATTTTATTCTAGGGGCGTATTAAAAGATTTTTACTATAGAAAAGTATTGAGTAGGATTTTATTATATAAACATAATGTAAATGATTTTAAAATAGGTAACTCCTTTAAATTCTCGATGCCTAAGGTTTAAAATGAATTTTAAAAAATGAGAAATCAATCTTGAAGCATTCGTTTTAGCTTTAATTGAAAGGAAAATGATTAAATTTTATTTTCTGATTATGCTGTGTATGACCAACCATACATTAAAACAATGAGTTACGTAGCATCTTATATACATAAAAAAAATTTTAATTTTTAGAAAATATTGAGAGTCGAGTTTTATTGATCTTTTCAATTTTTGATTGATAAATATAGTTTTCACTTAATAACAATGTCACCTTACCGGATTGAAGTAATTCAGAATTTAAAACGATTTATAATATTATAATTTATTATGATTAATTTTTAAAAAAAATGAAAACAGTTGTTATGAAAATTCTTAAGACAATAGTATCCTTAATAAATGTTATTTATAAAAGCAATTTTTTTCTATTTGAATAATGTCAGTTTTTTTTTTTTTTTCTTTTACGACTCGGATCAGATTTTCGGTAACTGGGGTCATGTTTTACAAAAAAACTGATTATTTAAATTCACCAAGGAGTCCTGCTTATAATTTAAAAAAAAAACAAATTTTAAGTTTGCAATTTAATTTCTCGAAATTTCTTGAAATTAATTAAGTGGGGTTGGGGTAACATATATAAAAATATATTTTTTACCGCGTGTTTCTAAAATAAATTAAAAAATAATTTCATTCATTTGTCAATAAGTCCAAAAAATGTCATTTAAATCCGTCAATTATTTGATTTTTACAAAAATTTCCAAATCGATGTTTTTCACCTGAAAAAAAGCGCAAAAGCACTAATCGTAAACATTACGTTGACAGCTGACATAAAAAAACAAGATTTTTAACAAAATTTCTGAACATGCTAGAAAGGATCAAAAACTTAATAAAAAAAATAGTTTCCTCTTATTAATAACATAAAGCATTTTGACGATAAAATTTTGTTTTTTAAAGTTGGGGCCTTTTTTCATCAAGCTATGCCGTTTTTTCAGCGAACAAGTGGAGTATCTGTCTATATTTCTCAGATGAGTTATTATGTACACTATTTACATTGTTTGGACTATCGTCCTCATCTTTGTTGCCATATATATCACAAAGTTTCGGCTGTTGTACTCTCCGGCCTTCTTCAGGGGGGGTAAATGTCGAACTGAACCCTTTATTTCGCTCGCTGGGGTAGACTGTTTCTCAAGGACGCGTGGCACAGTTAATAAAGGCGTTGGTTAGATCCAGTGACAGGACCCAAAGTGTTATGAGTTCAATACCTGGTTAAGGCAGTGGAGAACTTGGAGAGGGGAATTAACGGGAGATAACTGTTAACTGACATCCACTTTGTTTTCGATAGCCACCCTCTCATCTCTCTAACCTATCCAACCCTGAGTATTTGGTCTCTGAAATCGAGACGTATTTAGAGTCTGCTACATTTTTCACCAAATGACCATTGATTCGAGGTTAGACAAATTAACATGATATTCTAATTGTAAGTAATAAGAATTCCTTTTTCTGTGACGTTGTTTGGATGTATTTTTGGTTTTATTTTGTTTTGTTAGGTTAATGTGTAAATTTAAATTTTCTGCATGTGCACATATATCTATCTATCTATCTATCTATCTATCTATCTATGTATATATATATATATATATATATATATATATATATATATGATTTCTGTAGTTCACTGCTACCAGCAAGCAGAAAATTATTTTTCTCCTGATGATGGCTATGTTGGCCAAAACTAGTCGAGGAATCTAAATGAAATAATAATAAAAACGAAGGAATATTAATATACAACCCAGTGTATCTAAAGTTTTTAATTTTTTTTTTGTTCAATATATATATATATATATATATATATGTGTGTGTGTGTGTGTGTATATATATATATATATATATATATATATATATATATATATGTGTGTGTGTATATATATATATATATATATATATATATATATATATATACTAGTAATAATCTTATAAGTATAAGAAATAATACTCGTCCGGAAAATCTTCAGTGTCTTGATTTGCGAGTAATCAAACCAATACCAAAGGGAAAAAAAAGGTATAAAAAAAAGAAAGAACAAAGAACATGTACCTCAGCCGAAAATAATCGTCTGGCATCCAAGTCCAAAGTCCAAAGAAAAAAGCCAGCCTTCCCTGACGATCCGCTTAGGTAAAACCTTGGTATGTTTGTCTGGCTCATTATGTTTAAATATATATATATATATATATATATATATATATATATATATATATATATATATATATATATATATATATATTAGTGCGACAAAGAAGAGAACGATAGTCCGAACAATGTAAATAGTGAACAAGTCGAGGTACCTATTTTAAAATCTCCCCTATTTTAAATATAATATTATCATTATATATAGAACTATAATGATGATATTTTTTTTCCATTATTATTCTCCTTTTCCTCTTCATCTTTTTCTCATTCTTATTTTCGAATTTTCATCAAGTTTCTACTTTCGATTTTATTGCAGAAGAATCTTGGACATATGTTGAGTGAATCGACAGCGAACTCATCTACCGCCATTCCCGCAAGTCGAAAAGTCGTCCATCGAACATCCACCGTTTCTTCTTGCCGTAAACGCTCACCGCTGACAACTGATATTGGATTTCTAAAACAGGATTGATTACGCTTCGCATGAATACGAACAAGACGAAATTAGTTTCAGGACAAAATGCAAGCTATTCGATTCTCTGAGCAAAATGGTGGAAACAGAGAAACAAAATGGCCGGTGAATGGTTACGAAACTTCACGATAGCTGACATTAATTTGAAGATGGACTGAGCGAAGATTTAATTCTTAAAGAGCGTGTTCATTGTTTGTATGAACGGGGAATTAAGATTGCCAGCACTTTTCTTTGGCAGATTAAACTTGAGCTTGACAATTTGTGCTTCACTCTAAATGGTAATTGATGTTAAAGAGATAAAGCTTATAGGACTACGGTTAGTGGTTCATTAAATACAAAAAGATGAGTTTTAAATAATGAACAAAT